ATTGTTGCTTGAAGCTCAAAAAGTAAGACAAAATATCATCTGTGGTAGTTTTTCGTCAAGTTATTGCTAATTTGGCCAATTCGAGAAAATAAACGCGCAATCTATTGCGTTCTTAAAACACGCGTAAGTGGCGAAGAGGTAAAATGCAAATTAAAACATATGATATCATTACTGTTTACAAGTTGCACACAGCATGCTCTAAATTATAAAATCGTGTCAGTACTAAGTAGTCCAATACAAAACAGTTGAACCACAAAAAAGTCAGAAAAGTTTAAGAATGAACGAAAAATCAATCCGATAAAAAACGTTCCAAAAAATGGTCTGAAGGGATATTTGTTTCAAAAACCTGAAGGCTGAGAATCTTCCTGTGTTTAAACAACATAATGCGAGCTTGCCAACAGAGGGTAGGACTCTATATAAAAAATTAAAACCGTTTGTCGCCGGACTGCCTGCACCTATAGATTAAAATCTTTTATATTTTCATCTTATAATCCCTATCTATGAAATTTCAAATTAACCTACTTTATTTGAAATATAATACTAATATTTTTATATTCGTATAATCTATTATAATCAAAAATAATGGATTTCTTCGGAGGATAGTGAAAATTACAAGCTTGTTTTAAAATTTTATCATAAGCTGTTTGCCGCATAATACTTCTCATGAATTTATACATTGCACATTTTTTAATATTTTCTCGACTTTTTCATTTCTTGGCAGTTTGATGGTGCAATTATTTTGTTTTTATCACAATCGCCGTTTGCCACCACGTTCAAGTTACCCGCCCCAAACCCCTCCACCTCAAATCTGTGTGTGTGTGTGTGTGTGTGTGTGTGTGTGTGTGTGTGTGTGTGTGTGTGTGGAGGAATGTGGGTTGGTGGGCTGCTGGTAATGGTTGAACTTGAGTTTTTGGTTGAAATTGAAAGGCATTTTATTGAATTCTCCCAACTTTGATTGCACAACTCGGGCGAGGGGTTTGGGGTAATGGTTGAACGTGTTTTTGGTAGGCGTGTTTTTGGGGGCAGTTTACTCATAACAAAACCATTTAATTTTATATCACCTTATTTACCTCCCCGTCGTTTACTGAAGAGGGGTGGGTGGGTGTTTGGGTGAAAGGTAGTAAGCGTGAAAGAGGGAAAGTAAGCGTTTGGGATCGATTGAACATGTTCAATGTTTTAGTTTTTTTTTTGCTTTTTTGATTGTAAGAGACGTGGCCCAGAACTTCTTGCAGATTGTGTTCAAAATTTCTGCTAAAAGTACAAATGTATTTCTTTAAAAAAATGGAGTATAGTCGATTACAATGATTTTAAAGGTTTATTCTTGTTTCCAAATTAATCGTTTATAATGGGTTAGCTTAACAAAAACAATCTGAACAAAAATGGTCTGAATTTTACATCTGTAATGGATTATAATGGATCATTTTTGTTTCGGAAAACCAAATTTCATGAGCGCTCGGTGCAGGTGTTTCATATCGGACTCTGTTTTTTTACGTTTCATGGTATTTTTGATTGTTTTCTAGTGGACTGTTTCGAATAGGACTGTTTTGCGTATTCACCGATAAAACAGTGTATTCTTTTGCTCGGGTTTTATTAGGGCAAAAAAATCAACCTCAAAATCATATTGATTCGAATGCCCAGTTTTTGTTACGAATCTTTTTCAAAAATTGTATACTGCGCTGCATTCAAAATGCAAGATAAAAATTCATTTTAAATAAAATATTTTTGAGACTTAATTTTCGAGACCTGAGAATAATTTTGATGAATTGCTTTGAGATAAAATGAACGGCTCGTCTACTTCACTTCTAGTTTTTTTTTATGAAAGTGTCCAGTTGTTATGAAAACTTGTACGTCTGATTTCAGCACATATTGTTCTCATAAGTAAAATTTACAGCTACGTCATGAAATTTGTTCTTACAATTAATGAGTGGAAAGGGGTTGATAGAAGACTTAAGTCAATCAAAAGCAAGCTTAAGCAGATTTTAAGACTTTCTTGAAAAAATCATTGCGACTTGCATTAAGTTCTTTACTATGTTCATGGAATCTTGACAAAGCGACTAAGAAGGGAAAACAAAAATAGTATAAACATCAGAGTTGGTTATATTACGAAGAGACTTTCATAGGAGGAAAAGCCTGAAACCACACAAAAGTTCATTCTTGGGAAAGTAAGATAGAAAAACAAGTTCCGGTGAGGCTTCGGATCCCGGACAGGGATTTCAAGGCACGCGCGTTACCACTTGTTCGAGAGGTGAGTGGCCTGCAAGTTGTAAAAGTTAAGGTCACTTTCACACAGACTTGTAGGAAAACTTGTTGAACAGTTCAGGAATACAAGTACGCTTGCTATCGCTAGCTAATTATGTTGAACCATCTCAAAAACACTACATGCAAATAAAAGTGATTCTTAATTAGTTCCAAAGGTGAGGGCGGAGATTGTTGTGTAGATGCTAAATTTCCAAATCGCAAAAAGGCAAGTCTTCTTTGGGTTCGAACCACAAACTTTTGCCGGTTTCGGAAATAAAGCATATAAATATAACCATGGAGTTTAGTGGGCGGCAAAACAAGTTATTTAAAACTGATTGGACAGTAAATCAAATTATTCATTAACGCTGTTGGTAATTGGTCGAGAGAAAACTCAAAACGCTTGCTAATCTCAAGCTTAGCAATTTTGTCACAGCCCTTTCGGTTATCTGAAGTGATTGGATTTGGAACAGTATCTTTTTCTTCTTGGTATATCTTCCGCTTCTCACCTCACACGCCAAGTCAGGTACAAACCGATACTTTTCTCATGTAGTAAACGTTGTGCGGGTCCACTTGCAAGCATTTTTTGCATACACCTGTCAGCCTGTTGGCATCAAATTAAGTTGGATTTGTTTCCGAGCCAGATTATATCGCTGCTCGCGCTACCTGTCAAAAACTAAGCACGCATACTATGGAATGATATCAAATCCCCGCAAAAAAACTGTTAACTGTTTACAAAACTGGTCAACACTTTTTAAAATAAATTTTAAGGCATCAAAATTCTTTAGATGGTATGAAGAACATAGCTAACAGACAGTTGGAAAAGAGTCACTGAATGCAAATAAACAGAAAAAAATACTGATTTGTTTTTTTTTTCTAAATTCAAATTCAGAAAAAAAATGGACGGTCTCTATGCTCTTTGACTTTCTACAAAAACTTATTTTTTTATTTCGCTGGGAATTTTGAAAAAATCCATTTTCGAAACTAGAAGCCGATCACGTTTTTCGAGATTTTTACAATTTTGCTGTTCGATACTGGAGGTTTCCTTCCTCTTAACAATAGAATTGCACTTAAACAGAAATCACAATTCAAACCGCGAAAAATCAAACTTGAGCGTGAACAAATTTTAAGATTTTTTCCTTTTGGAAAATATTTTGAAAAAATATGTTGAAAAAAAATACTGGAAAAATTAACATGAAATTTTTGTGGTGTAAATGTTTTGAATTTCTTCAAATGTTTGTATCGGATGATGTTTATAAAAAAACTTTTAAAAAGTTTTGGGATTTATTCGCCCAGTGGCAACAAACAACTAAAGTGACAAAATCTGGGTCGACCACCCTTCAAATGGAAACAAAACTATTGTCCTTAAAAAATTCAAGCTATTATGTTTTAAATGTTTTTTACTAACAATCCGTAGAACAAAATCAAAGAATATGTTCTTCCTCTTTGGATTTTAAGAAAAATGTTGACTGACCTCTTTCACAAAACTAAACTACTTGGAGAAAATATGGTCAATGGATAGATTTTTTGAGCCCCTTTTAAACTAGAAATTAGTCAAACTTTTCAACTGTTATTAATCGAGTGCGCAATTTTCCTTGCTTTTACCAGATTCATTCGATTTTGACTAAAAATGAAATCAGTATCAACTTGCAAAATATTAAATTTGACCAAGGACACCCAACATATTTTTAAATAAAAAAAATGAAGAAAAAAATCATGAAATCAATTTCTTTTTTATGCTGATTTACTTTAAAAATTTGTAATATAGTAGGAAATGCAAGATCTTTTAAGCATAGTCCGAGGTTATCAAGTCTACAAAAAAGAGTAGACCTAAGAAAAACCAAATTTTCAGAGAGCGAGTTTCCAGTATGCAAAAACGATAGGTACTGGCAATGCTTAAACATAGCTAACAAACAGTGGCAAAAGTTTCAACGAACGCCAGCAAATTCAAGAAAAAAAATAGTCTTTTTTATTTTCGAAATTCGTAAAATATATAATAGATTGACGCTCTTTTAATTTCAGGAAAATTATACGACCAACAATTTTTTGTCACTAATCTGGCCCACTTAGAGAAAACAGGATCAAGAAATTTTGTCATTTTGCGGGAATCTTAAAATTACAATCCACTTTTGAAACCAGAGGTTCATGTTTATCGTGCCATCTTCACGTTTCTAAGAGCGCGATAACTGCCTTCCTTCCTTCTTTTCGGCAAACGAATTAAGATTAAATTTTGAAAGTGCATATATGAAACTAGAGGTTCAAATTTATCGCGCCATTTTCATTTTTTAAGAGCGCCATAATTGCCTTCTGGATGCAGAGGTAAAATTTTTTAAATTTCCCTAGCAAATCTGAAAACTAAATTTCATTTTCGAAATCAGAAGAAGATCACATTTTTTGTGACTTTTACAATTTTGCTGTTCGATAATGGAGTTTACCTTCCTTTTCACAAAAGAAACGACTTCAAAATAAACCAATAGTCAAATCGCGAAAAAGTAAATTTGAGCATGAACAAAAAAGAACATCACGATCAGTTAAAGAGAATCTGAACTACGTTCATCGACACTTAAACAAACGTCAACAAGTGTTAGATGAAAATTCGAAATTTAACTGGAGAAAAAACACTTCGAGCTGAAACATTCCATCTCTTTCTTCAAAAGTCGGAAGAACATCAATCACGCTGCGCTGTTGAAAAAGAGTCAAGTCCAATTCCACCATTTAGCCTCACAAAAAGATAGAAGACAACAACTTTTAATTATTACGAAACAGTGAGATGTAATTGCTGAAAATTGTTAGTTTATTCGCATAAAATTAATCAATGTGTTCAGATTTGTAAAGTTCAAGAGTCAAGTTTCAAATCATCGAAACACTAAGTTCATTCTCTGACGCCAACATGTTATGCAAATGGACTCCACCCTATCCAAGTCCTTCCTAGAATGTTGGGATCTGTGGCCTGGTCTATCAAACACGTGACCTGTTGATCAGTGTTCAAACTAGTCTCATTCTGCATGCTCCACCTCTCACTCCCTTTCTCCCCTATTATTATCCGGAGCAAACTGGCCGAATCTTTCATGACCAGACTATTCAAGTCCAGTTCTTCTGACTTCATTAACAACATGGGGTTTCCACCGTTCAACTTCCTCTTCACGCAGTTCAGTTTCTGCTGCGGGTACCACGACATTTTTGTATCGTCCAAATGTTCATCTAAATTACCTGCACGACGCATTGCATGTACTTGTCTGTTCGCAAACTCGACCCAATCAATCACCGGTTCCCTCAAAAACACCTGCAGAATGTTCATCAATGCCTCCTGATTGTCCTGCAGCGCCTCCAATGTTTTCAGCATGGTCGCATGAACAATTCCACCAGATGGCGAAACCTTCGGAACAGTCAGGCCAGCCATTAGAGGGGTCATTCGAAACGGGGTCAGCTCTGGAACGGGCAAGAACTGAGTGGCTGTTCCGAACGCATGGCCGAAATCAATGCCCACAGCTGAGCATGACTTCAGATCCACCAGTGTGTTACTCGTGTGTCTGTCGCCGATTCCCAGAATGTAATGAGCTAGACTCATGCAACTGTAGCTTCGAATAAATCGATCTCTCAGAACAATGAACGCATCAGCTGAAACTGATAGCTTTTCAATAGCTTTTCTGAAACTCAATTCTCCGATCTTTGATGACGATTCTCGGAGACACTGTTGTGCTTCTGATTGTTTCGCGCCTTTTGTCCAGAGATAGAAGAACTTCTGAAAATCTTTCCCTGGTCCCAAATAGCCGGTGACCTTTTTGTGCATGTTTTTCTTGGCGTCGTCCACTTTCTTAGCTCCACATGCCTGTTCAAAGAGCATTTGGTATGTGGTTGTATTGGGAACCCACTGAATCAAACCCAATTTCAAGGTCATAGGAGTTACATCATAGGTGTGAACGACCAGTTTGCGCTGCTTCGTCTCCGAATTCTCTTCTAGAAATTTGTTCATCAGCTTGAACACTTTCATCAGACGGTCATCTTGTCTTAAATCTTCTCCTCCCTTCAGCAAGAAAGAATATTCGCGCTCATCCGAGCCCAGAATGCAAATTTTTCTAGGCTTCCTTATCGATTCCAAGACTCTAACTTCGTTTCGAAACCCACTAATTTTCACATGAGCCAAAGTGTCCGGTTTGTTTTTGCCGTCATACTGACCTGGTAGTTCTACAGAACTGTAAGGGTTAATTTCAGAGAAATTCGCCAAATAACCACTGTATTCAGCCAAGGTGCTCGGTAATTTGAACTCGTCCGAATGATAATTTCTCAATTGGTCCAAGTCCTGACGAATACTTTTCATTTCTTTACTTTTTAGCTTGGAACCCTTTGGTCCCCAAAACTTCTCCAATTTGGGTTTCAAATTTGCTGCCAGTTGTTTTTTGAACAATGATTGGACAATTTCTGCGCTCGAATCCTGTTCACCAAAAAGCTCGTTGCAGAGTTTACTGTACGCAGCGATTCTCTCGTTCGGCAGAAGCTTTGAAAATTCTTTCATTAAATCACTTAACGCAACCAGGGGTGTCAAGGCAGTTTCTTCCAACTCTTGCAGAACTCGCTCCAGAACCTCATTTTTCACCAAACTTGCCACTTGCTGGACAAAAGTTTTCTCTGATGACAATTTCTCAGTGGCTTCTAGGGTAGTTTTGAATGGAAAATACACTGCCTGAGGGTAGTCAGTAGCTATTGCAATGATCACAGGTTTCAGCAATTTGTTCAAATTTGGTTCGCTCACATAACTCATGATTTGTTCGACCCAGCTCAAAAACATCCAAGTTGGAACTTTGGACACTTCTCTTTCAAAATTCACTTCGATCGCTGCTGGCATTTGATAGGCTAATAAGGCGACCAATCTTGGGAAAAGAGCAGACGCTTCAACTTTGCCACACCTGAGGGCCTCGCAAACTGATGTCAAGAGTGAGCGAAGAACATCTGCGGCGAAAACAACTTCATTTTCTGATGCATGTTCACTTTGAGAATCCAGAAAATTGACACAAAATTTGGCCAAGTCAAAGAAACTTTTGGCAGAAACTTCGTCGTCTTTTTGCATCGGGAACGCGCAACAAGTCTGAAGAGTTTTGTAGGAGGCATCCACCAGATCTCGAGGGCTGCAATCGGGACTCCATGGAAGCATGAAATGGTTGGGAAACTTCTGGTTGTGAACAGGTGTTATTCCAGAAACTAGTTTGCTATCAGTTGGATTGAAGTTATGAATAGACAGAAAACTTCTAGCTAGTGCCGACAAAAATTTATTGTAGTTGGCATGATTCGAAACTACATCGGTTTTGAGAAAAGATATAAGAGCATCAACCGATTGCCTGAAATGAGTCTCGACCACTTTTGGATTATCATGAATTGACGCCACTTTTACCAAGTAGTCAACATTCATCAACTCACATTCAAAAGCTTGAACTAAATTAACGTTGATAGAAGGAGCGCTTCGAACTTGGTTCAGCACTCGGTTTGCCAACTCGATTCGAGATTGCTTCACGGCAGCTAACGCGAAGTCTATGTTATAATCCACCATTTTCGACCCCGCCAGGGCTTCTAGTTTGCGATCGGGGCTGCCAGACAATTCTGTCAAAAATTCCAGACATATTTTGCGGACAAGTCTAACTTCTTCCCAAGTAGAAGTAGACACTGTAGTGGGATCCATTTCACTTTTTGTTACTTCCTCTATCAAGCAGGCTGACTTTTCTTGCGTTAAATTCTGGTGGTTCGAGCACAAGAACTTGATCAGTTGAGAAAGAGGGTGAAATTGAGGACACCTTTCTGTGTCCAAAGTGACTGTTAACCCCCTCGGGAACATTAGACTGCGGAGCGAGAACTGCAACTGAGGTAGAGCGTAGCTCCTGATGATGTCTTTGGCATTGAACGGGTACCCTTGCTTCACCAGCACTAGACTCATGTCGAGAGGAAACCTGCGGGAGAACTCTTTCCTACTGGCTGCATCATTCGTCACTTTTTCCAAGTAGGAGCAGAAATCATCCGACACATCCAAATCATCCAGGAGAGCCTTACATTTTGCATCGACTAACGACTTGTAATGAGTTCCCGAAAAGATATGATCGTTTTCCTCCAAATTGAGTTCCGAATCGAAAAGCGACGCGAGTTGTTTCCAGTCACACAGGGAACTCACGCTGCGTACCAAAATGTCATTCCACAATTCTTCATCTTCCGCGTTTTCATCATCTTTGCATTCTTCTAATGCCGCTTTGCAGTCCAAAATAGCCTGCTTGTACTTTCGAGAGTTTTCTAGTTTTATCAACTGCTTCGTAAGTTCTGGGAAATTACCAACTTGAAAACTGTGAGTGTGATCGAAATCGCCGATAGATCGGAACAACTTCACCAATGAGAAATTAACTTGGCGCAAAACATCATAATTTTCGTCCAATTTTCGCCGTTTTACAGAGGCTACACTATTTGCACTTGATTTTTCAATGTTTTCAAGAGATAGTTGTTCCAGATACGCAACAGCAAAAAGTTCTTGTTTATTTTCAATCGAGCTCATAACCAGCTTTTTTGAGTCGAGTTTCACAAATGCAGGCCATTTTGCGGCGATAGAGATGATCGATTGAACTAGTAACTGGTCTCCATTAGACTGACATTCATTCAGAACAGCACTGAACGCTTCTGAAATTTCAGCCCAAAAACCCTCATCGACCGAATTGGAATCAACCATATTAGCAATAACGCCTTCGCAAACTTGGACGAAAAGCTGTGAGCAAATAGTTGGTTCGTTTTGCGCCAACGCCAGTAATGGAACTATCAAATCCGAGTGCTTGATTTGGATGTCGGGAATATCTCCGACTCTGTAGTTGCGGTAGATGACCACTTCGTTTGCCTTCCGGACTGACGCTTCAATCGTCGTTCTATTCCGTTCTTTAGCTGCATCGTACGCTTTCTTCACGAAATAAGACTTCTCTTCATTGCTGTCTCGTTTAGCCAAGACTGTGAGTCTAACGCGATCTCTAGCACTAACTTTTGTTCCGCCTTTGTCCTGCATTTCATCAGCTATTACGTCTTTAAATCCATTCTCAGTACGCACTAACACTCTTCGCTTTCCTCGATTGGAGGCAACTCTTTTCGACTCATTTCTAACATCCGCAACAAGGGTCGACTCATAAGAAGCCTGCGAAGATTCGCCCTGGCTGGGATTCGATCCATCGCCTGCGTTATCTAGCCAAGAGAAGGTTTGAGACGCTTCAAAACTCACATTGGTTGCTGTAAACTGCATGTTTTTGTTTTGCAAAGTCGCTCTAATATTTCCAGATGCATTCGAAGACGACGATAAAGAGGACGAATCAGGGCCCATAGATTGGGAAAAACCCAGAGCTTGCCAGCTTTCCGTGACTTTAACCAGGGGCTGAGTGTCTATGAACATGGGCAGTAAGCCAGAGTGGTGATTGAGCCAGGCGTTTTGGATAGGAACACTTTCGAAGGAACATTTGTCCAGAGGATGTTCAAACATTTCCACCGAATAGTCTGGACTTCGGCTGCACGCATCAAAGATGACGTTGATGCAATACTTGATGAAAACTGAACTATGCTCGTGGTTGTAGAAATTATGGAACAGAGACAAAATTCTCTCCGAAACTGATTCTGGCAGCGAGTCTAGTTTCGAGATGTAAGTGAGAACGGCCAAAGAGATCACTTTATCCGAGTCTCCCACCCCTCGAATTAAGAATCTCAAAACAGATTTAGCTAAGTGCAAATTTGAATCCTTACTTTTCTTGTGCATTTCCATTAAAATTTGGAACATTTTTAGTCTGGAACTGGAAGCGGCGAGGTGGTCGGAAGCTCTTCTGCAGATAACATCTAAGACGTCCTGATATTGCTCTTCTGTTAACACTTGGACCATCTGGTGAAGAACTCTGAGACTGGCAAACTGGACTGCAGAGTCCAAATTAGACAACATGTTCGACAAAATTCCGTGACTTTTGAGGGATAAGAAGGCGTTGGGGTGAGTAGTGCAATGATGGTATATGACATTCAGACAGTCTACCTTCGCTCTTCCTGTCAAATTGGACAGACAGAAGAATGCCTGGTCCACCATCTCAGACCCGAACTGGCTGAACCGATCGCAAATGTAGGAAAAGATTGAGAAGAAGCGTCCCAGCGAGTTAACACGACCCTCACTTTGCTTCACTAGGACCAAAGCTTGAACTGCTGTTTTGTTCAGCTCTTCAAACAACAATTCATCTGTAGCGTCTCCGCGATAAAAGGATAAAATTAAGCCAACTGTTTCAGCCACTGGCGCATACACTCGCACATTAGAATTTGTCAAATGCTTGGTTAACGATTGAAACATAGTGCACCGTTCAATTATCGAGATTCTCGGAAATGTCGGGCATTTGTGCGCGGCAATTAGACCCAAAATCTGGATCCCAGATTCTAATTCGGGCGATTTTTCTGTCGGCGTTAAACGCAGTTTATCATAAATTACATTAAAATCGAACTCGAGAAAACATTTGAAATTTTCCATTAGAATTTTGAGCAGTTCGAGGTTGTTTTTCATCAACGCCGAGTTCGAATGTGCCGCGTGTTGGACCATGAGAGTAAAAATCCTGTCCAAACTGGACTTCTCGATTTTGCCCAGTTGGAAGGCTGAGTTGTGAGCCTTGACTAGTTGGTACCAATCGGCAACCAAACACGTTAGCTCCACTACAAACGATGTTATGAGTTTAGACTGGGAGAGATACATTTCGAGCACCCGAATGAGATCAGGCAGAAGTGAATCAGCCCAGGCTGCGAAGTCGTCCTCACACAAAATGAGCACTTTTGCTACAAACACCAACACATTCACATGTTGAGCTGTTTGTAACTGCAGCTGAAACTTGCCAACCCAGTTGGGCAAGTTGGTGGCATTAGATGTGTGTTGTGATGCAACTGGAAGCACACTTGAACTCGCTTCCGACTTTTGTTGCAGACTGCTCAGATGCTTCACGATGTGAACAACAGTAGTAAATATAGGCAATGATGTAACAGGATCCTCGACCACATTCGGAACCAGATACTCTCTGGGAGTATCTCGCGATTCCCCGTCGACGTCCATGGGTTCCTGGTCAGGCTCTCCCCATGCTTCCTGACGGGCTGAAGGAGGCAATCGCACAGATGCGTCGTTGAAGTCGAACTGAGCCAGCTCTTCTCTTACGCTACTATCCTGAATGTGAAGAGATGACAGGTAGTTGCGCTGCGTCCACCCACTCTCCGAAAAAGGGAAAGAGGTCATGGCACCCTGAACAAATAAGCTATTAATCTCTCTGTTTTCTTGCAGTTCCAACATAGCCAACAAACATTTGGAAAAAAGTTAATGAACACAAAGAAATGTCTAGTTTTTATGAAAAAATTATGGCAAAAAAATTATGTTAAAAAACAGAACAGTTGACCGGTTCGACCGACCATTTTGGCTGACGATTTCACCGTAATCCTGTTGTAACGCGAACAGATTCCAGATCCTTTAAGAAAAATTATGGCTAGGTTTGTGAAACTGAAAAGTTGGATTATGGGGACACAATTTCTGAATCTTCTGAAATTTATAAGATGCATTGTTACGCTGTTTTGTGAATAAAAAAGATCCCTATTTTTGAAAATGTTATCCAACTGCAACAAACTGCTTCTTGATGTCCAATTTGATTTGATTGAAGCGGTTCATTAACACTATACAAAAAGTATATTTTCATGGGTATAGAGTATTGAGACCTGCAATCCCAAAAGAGGCTGAGGTAATCCAACGGCGTTTTATATTATCTACCTTACATAACTTCTTAAAATTCTCTGTTCTAAAACTTTGATTAACGATTTATATTCCAATTTTTCTTTTTGATAGTTTCGTCAAAAAAATCCTGATCCCTCTTGAACAAATTGTGCGAACAAAAAATGAGCCTAAATTGATAATGGACAAGTTACCGTTTAAAATAACCAAATCTGAAACGTACAAAAAAATTAAATTTTTTGATGTTTTTCAAGAAACTGAAAAAATTATGACAAAGGCCATGTCTTCTAAAGTATTATTTGATCAATTTCGGCGTTGCAGCTTACACAAGAAAGCCTAAAATTAATTGTAGTTCCTGCGAATCGCAGTGGATCTATCAGTAGGCATTTAACAGTCCTGTCGAGGATAGTCCATTTGTATTATCTCCCCACATTCCAGACTGTGTTATTTTGTTGAGCCAAGCTCTTTTTTTTGCGACTCAAGGCCGTTTTTGTGCGTCTAGAACTTTCACGTGGTACCACTTTTGCAGCCAAATTTGGTCAGGTTGTGGTAGACCTGAAGCTAGAGGTCAAGTGAGAGCTCGTCCTCACACACTATCATTGCCATGGCATGGGATCGATTACACGATCTGACGATTCTAAAGTGAACGCCTTACCACTATGCTAAAATGGAGGATACTCCCATCTAACTAAATGTTCCTCTTTCTGATTTAGATAATTAGAAAACAGAACATAATTAGAAAAAGGAAAAAAATTATAATTAGAAAAAGGCTATGCAAAATATATGCCAAAACCACAGCAAAAAATTCAGTAAAAAACAGCAACATTTTCTAACCCTTGTGTTTAATAAGAAGGCGCTATTTATTGCTTTCTTTTTGAAATTTTCAAAAAATTTGATAAAATGACAAATTAAAAAATAACAAACAGTCGGCAAAATATATTGGAACTCATTTTTTATGCAGAAAGCCGAATTACATCGAGAGGACTTTTAATTTTAATTTGAAGAATGCCAAAAGTTAGGCAAATTCCGCGCGGTAGTAACTACGCCGACAAAAAGCAAGCGAACAACCAGAGGTCAGACAAAGATTTTTTGACGCACAAAAAAATAAGTTTACAAGAAAAGTTCCCAGTGGGATTCGAACCAGTGATCTTTCTCGTTGCAGACAGGCGCCTTGAATTAACGCCACACGCAAGAATTTAGGCCATGCTTTTGATCCAAGAGAAATTTCCACTTTCTGAGTTAGGAACTTACAAAAAATCGGCTAAAATTTTAAGAACGACCAACATGAATGAATCAAATTTCATATACGTCTTTTTTCAAATACAAAAGCAGTTTTATTTCCGATAATACCTTTCCAGCTACTAACTTTTCTTGAACTACAGACAAGAAATTATTAGACAACAATCAAATATGAAATAGAGAAACAAAGAAAATGAAGTCTTCCAAGAAATTTGAAAGATTATATATCCTAAGTTACACGGTTAAAACCTTCGCATTTGACTCGAAAACACAACCCTACAAGAGGCTGATAGCATGCAACTGCGCTATCCACACTTTTAAATACAAAATAAACAATCGCTTCATATACAAAGAGGCGAAACACTTGCGATACACAAATGAAGGATTATCACTACTTGCAGATGAACTGAAAAATCGAAAAAAAAATCTATAAAAATTGTTTCTCAAATTTTTTTTTGAAAAATGTACGAAATTTATAAAAATTGTCAGAAATCTTGAACAGAATTACTGGATCAAAAGCTAAAGTTTTTATTCAGCTGTTAAAACTGAAAATAAAATACCTCTTTCGTGACGTTTACAATGGTGCTATTCGATAGTGGAGTTTGCCTTCGAGTGTGGAGTTTGTTTAACAAAGGAAATGAAGTTAAATTAAAACGAACGAAAAGTCAAACTGCAAAAAACTTAATTTAAGCGTGAACAAATTTTAAGACTTTTCCTGAAAAAAAATCATCACGACCTATATAAGAGTCTGAACTACGTTCAACTTTAAAGGACTCGAAAAAATGATGCATATACAAAACAGTCCCATACAAAACAGTCCAATATAAAATAGTCAGAAAAATCATGTAATGGAGGAAAAAATAGTCCAATACAAAACAGTCCGATTTAAGGTCGCGGGTGGGCGCGCTGCGCTGCGCCGCTTTGCGACGATAACCGGCTCTAATTTTTGTATTAAGTCCTACCCTCTGTTGGCAAGCTCGCATCACGTTGGCGCGACTGCGGCGGTGACTATTTTGTTCATTATGTTTGTTGAACAAAGGACAATTCTCAGCCTGCCGGCTTGTTAAAACAATTATTACTTGGGACTGTTTTTCGGACTGTTTTGTATGGGACTGTTTTTTCGTTCATTTTCATACTTTTCCGGACTGTTTTGTATGGGACTGCTTTGTACAGACACGGAAAATATGGGCATTTAAAATGCTGACATGCTCACAAAGATTAGGTTAATCGACGAAAAGATAGAAACAGATGACCACAATTTCAGTCAACCCGTGAACAAAGTTATTTACAGAGGAAAAAATTTAGTATTCAAATTCAACACCCTTGCTTATCGCCAGAGCAATTAGATTATTTACAAGAGACCCAACTAAAAGTTAATGTGATAAACTAATATTCAAACCCTCTTTTTTGAAACCCAGAATAAACCAATTGATTAAAGACTCAATTTTCAAATAACCATTGAACACGTGTATGCTCCCCGCAAGTGATTTTTTTCATGTGAAAACGTTCTCGTTTAAATAAATTGTCTTCAAATTATTTCGACCATCGGAAAAACGATACACGGAAAAATGGCCTCCAGAATCACGGAGTCGTCAAAGTAGCTTTTTTGCCGCAGCAATGATCATTTACATGCTGATGCAAAGGAGCGACTTTGCCAATCCCAAAATTCTTAATTTAATTTTCCGATGGGAGAAAAATTCTTTAGCTGATTTTCATCGATTAAGATAGGTTCAGATAACAGAAGAGCAGAGTATAGTGATCTAAATTTGAAAATGTATCGTTAAAATCTTAAGCAAACAATTGATTAATTAACAGATTCATGGTTCTTACATCTTCAACTAAATTTCAAAGCTTCAATTAATTTTCAAATGCTTTTTTGTAAGCTAGAGCAACTCAATATTTGAAAGTTTCTTATCTTTGTCTTGGCTAGAATTCCCTTCAAAAAGTTCCCTTCAAGGCAATTGAATGTTAAACAAACAATTTTAAAATGTTGCCCTTCAAATGACTCAAAAAGAGGCCTCTAAGCCGATATTCTATAAAATGAAACCTTTTAAGCCAACCAAACAGAAATGGCCATTCGACGCATGTTTTTTCGATGGGTGCAAAAATTGAAAACAATTTGTTAAATGATATTAATTGATTCAGATATTTTGTAAATGTTTTCACAAAATAATGGTAGTGAGACTTTTCTTCAAAGAAATGAACTTCTCTGTACCAATTCTGTTCCTGTTCTGATTCTGCCTTCAGTCTTTGAACGAATGTTTTTAAAAGGGTAAATTCTGAGTTGTGTTCTACAGCTTAAAGAGTATACTTCGCAAAACACTGACTGATCAAAGAGATAGAGTACTTTAGAAGCATGTAATAGAATTACATGGGGTAGCACAAAATCACAAAAAAATTGCGTAGAAACGGCACATAACGGATATAATTATGAAACCAAAAAAAAGCTGTGTTAACGAGAAGACCCGGTGGTTGTGCAAATACTACAGCGAACTTTGTTTTCTTCGCTAAAGCAGAAATGACCACGCTAAGAAAGATTTTAAACAACTTTTCACAAAAAAAATTACCGATTATTTTCACGAAAACTTTGAAGTTTCAAGCACAAGTTATTAGATATGAACCATTTTTACGTCATTCTACTTATTTAGAGTTTTTTCTCATTTGATACAAATAAAATGTTGCGCGACTTTGTTTTGAACCAGGCCATCAGCCTAGAAACACAATTTCAAACGTCAAATTGAATTAAATAGGTTTTAACCGCCTTGAATGAACAGCTTTTTCTTGTTGACGTCCTTTTGAAGCCAGCCTATTTTGGCAGTTTGTGAAATACAAATAAGAACGAGTGGTAAGAAAATGTATTTTGCCGCACGAACATCGCAGTTGAACGAGTAATCGAATCATTTGAAAGAAAGTAATTGAAAAAATGAGTAGTGTGAAACTCATTTGTCTGTTTGTACTCTTTGTTGCGATCAAGGCGGGCGAAGACCACTGTCCCCCTCCCATGGGCTTAGTGGGCATCAATTGCCTCATGCTCGGCCACATACACTACAGGGAACAGGCGCAAGCCAAGATATTCTGCGCGGGCCAAACTAAGTGAGTATGACATCAAATGCCCCCCCCCCCCCACCTACGTTGAACCACAATTATACTCCACCTTTTAAATTTCGTATTTTACAACTGAATTAAATTTACAGCAAAACGATTTCTGTTTAAATTTTTTTACTTAATATTTTTTTTTCCGAATCACAGCTCAAAGTTGGCAATAATTTATTCTGTTATCATCA